GGCCGGGCGCGGCGGCGGGCGGCTGTGCGGCGGTGTGTCGCCGCCGCACCGCGGGGCCGCCCCCCGCCCAGCCTCCGCCCGGAAGCCCGCGCTGCCGGCGCCGCACGCGCGGGGTCGTCCCGCTGGGCCAGCACCGCCGATGAGAGCCATGTTACGAGGTGCCAGGCGCAGCGTCTTGATCTTGGAGAGCTTTGGTGTCGCTGGCACGTGGGGGATGCAAGTCGCGTCAGGTCGCGAACGCGTTGTTGATAGCTCTGCGTGCGCTTGCGCTCCTTTCTTGTTGGCCGCCACGTGCGGCGCTTTGACGCGCACGACCGGCGCGCCCGGCACGCCCACGCCCGCGCCCTCGCCCGCGCCCACGCCCCTGCAACACAGCACACGCACTCAGGCCTCCGCCGCAGCGATCTCACACATTCAAACACTCAGTGGTTGGGCGCTTGGTAGTGATTCCGGGCTCGTCAACGTCTACGGTCATTAGTCCCGTAAGTGTTGTACATGGATTTGTGAGGTGGCAGTGATCTTTGTCGCAGGATGGCGATAGCCGGTGCCAGTCAGCAGGTGGGTTTTTCCCACCAGCGGTTGCACCGCTCCAGGTTCGGGACAAGCTCTTGGTCCGATTTTCTCGTTGGCATTGTGAGTGTAGTACATGTAGGGTGAATGTTGTAAGAGCGAGAGGGTAGGACAATAAAAGAGGAAGGAAAGATCGCCGCGACGGTCCGGGGGCTCGTATATAGAGTTACCGTTCCGGCATTCGCCTGTGTATGATTCGGAGAAATCTCTAAAAAGTACCGATCAGAGCAGCCGAATACGAGGCTTCGACCTTGCTGACAAACTATTGCCGAAAATCTTGCCACTGTCGGAATTTGAACCTAGGACCTTATCGGCCAGATCATATTGTAGGATATCAGTTGATGCACTGAGCCACTTCTCTGGGTTTAATTCATTCAAACACTTAATTAATCCAACTAGTGTGATATTGTAACGAGCCCGATCCGCGTAGCCGAGAGGGCGCAGGCAGGAGTGCCGTGGTGATCTCGGAGCGCAGGGTCATGGGCTCCGGCATGATTGCGTGTGGTGTCAATGTGTAGTGTGCATGTGTGTCCACAAGGGTTGGCGTCAGGAAGGGCATCTGGCCGTATAAACAGATGTTAGAAATTGGTTTGAGAAGATTTGAGGAAATTGTATAGCTATGTTACAATTAGTTTATACGTTTCGATAAGAGATGGTAGTAAATATTCACAGATTATAAATTCCAATACAGGAAGGAATAATATCTTACCCGTACGAGAAATATAGAGTGTGGATTCATATGTTAGGCAGACGTTTTGTAATACAATATGTGATCGTGCCCGCTCAACTTTTACCACGGCGTCTGGGTATACAAAAACGGCGACCAGAAGCCCGCCTCCGCCACCCCTGCGCACGCCACACACCCTGCTCGCTCGCGCTATGAGAGCAAGTTTAAAAGACGTTGTACGAACTGTTCACGAGTTACGAACAATCGATGTCAAGAAGTAGACCTTGCAGCGGCTGTGCGTTGCAGCATTGCAACGTGGACGCTTTTGTCAACAAGGTAAGAGATGTCAGGAAAAGTGAAGTAGACAGCAATTGTGAAGTGAAATTCTTCAGGTGTTAGAAGAGGTTGTGAGGATGGACAAGATATATATTGATGAAGTGCACAATGATAATTCTAACTGGGTAAGGAAAGAATGGCAATTGTGCGGTGAAACACTTACAGGTGTAGATGCTATTCCGTGGGATGTATGGGGTCGTCCAAGTGTGTGCGGGCGTTGGTGCGGGTGCAGCGGGACTCACCCGAGGGCGGCGGGCGCGCCGTAGAAGTCGAGCGGCGCGAGGGGCGCGGGCGGGCCGTCGAAGTGCAGGAGGCCGTGCGGCTGCAGCTCCTCGTCGTAGGGCGCGCTGGGGCTGTCGCCGCCGCGCGAGCCGGTGGGCGTGGCGGGGCCCGACGAGGCCGTGCTGCTGCAAGGCGCGCCCCCACCGCCGCCGCCGCCGCCGCCGCCCGGCGACCAGAAGCCCGCCTCCGCCACCCCTGCGCACGCCACACACCCTCAACTGCATTGGCCTTTCGCAAAGAATACCTCCGACTTTTGAATTGAATTGATGCGTTACTTTACCTGGCGGGGCTCAGGTCATGACGTCTGACCATGCAAATTTTTAACACAATAACGTTTTTAAAACAATTGTACCTGAACATTTTTAAAGATCTGTTTTCACAACAAACTTTAAGATAAAAAACTATCTTCAATATTCTAGTTTTAGAATGTTAATACTTTGTGGTTTTTTCAATATTCGAAAACACAGAGAATTCACCGGAAATGAGACAAACAATTTTTTACCATACTTGAAACATACGAGAACAACATTTAAAGAAATGATTTGGAGTAGTTCTTAAGAAAATGTCTGTTTCAAATTATTAATTTTTCACAAAAAATTATGCGGAAACTACTCATATTTTCGAAAATTGACTATTTTATGATCAGTTATGTTTTCCTTTTGTTACACTTCAATATTTTAGACAGACTTTTCAATTATTTATATATAAACATATCACTCACTGATTTCACTACAAACAGATTTCACTAAAGAAATCTCTCTTTTCAATATTGTAGTTGTAAGAAAACGCCGAAAAAATCTGAATTCAGGAAAGGAAACACCTTATTACTTCTTTCAATTTGTACCCAAGTGCAAGACAGATCTTAAGACAAGAGTGGAAATTTCTGGTAGTCCCTTATGAAAATGATTCTTGTCGGAGGTTTGACGAACGTTCTGACCTTTAACTTACGGATGCTGTGAACGCGTACAATCAGCATCATGACACACATCGTCTATAAACAAGACATTGACACATAAAAATCGTCATATTTTTGTTAAGCGAAGATATATATTTAGAAAAGTATATTTTTGCTGGGTCCAATTTCAAGAAATCAATCACCAGACAACCAGTACATACTATAATAAATAACTTTGCTTTTGGCCTCGAAAAAAGCCCGTTTGGCCCGCCCGCAAAACCTTTATACTAGTGTGTAGCAAACCCAAGTATTGTTAGTACCTTAAGTAATAAAAATATCCCCCAAAAGTAGGCACGGACGTCACGCCTCTGATTTTGGAGCGAAGAGTCCAGAGAAGCACTGCTTGTTTCTCGTCGCCGCGACCTAGACAAAGGCACCTGCAGCCCTTCACGAAACATTTCGTTCGCCACAGACAGGGAGCGGCGCGTTCCTCATGGAAAAGGTCGGTCGAGTATACAGTACGCAACCAACGTCTGATGAAAGGTTCGATCCAAATCAATCAGACCCAAACTCGAAAGCAGCAGAGAAGATAATTTTTTTAAAATATATAAAATCTTGTATAAATAGGCAAATATACTCTAGAAGTCGAAATATGCTCAGTCATCACGAATGAGAGAAATACGTGCAACGCGATTCTCATATAGACTCCAAACAACAAGAAATAAGTTTTTGTTAATTATGCACATGTTTCCACTTGAGAAGGGGTGCAAATGAGAGAAATCTGCAGCTTGTTCACTGTCTATTTTTGTTAGTATTACAATTTTATGTTGGTCCTATAATTTAGTATTTTTTCGAGCTATTGCGACAGGAAATAAAACGATTTCAAATGGCGAATACCGGAAAAGTCCTTGCTATTCAATTAGATCATCTAATGTAGATATCAAAACAGACCTCCGTCGACTAATAATAGTTGATGCATCACTTATTGTGACAACAGAGCGCATTCAGGCCTTTCCAACAATCATCTTTCCATTAAGTTAAATGGAAGTTAGGCTCTTATCGCGATAAACGAGGGGGTGTTAAATTGCCCGAGAGCCATGAGGGCACGTGCTCCCCTTATTAAAGCTCTCTCTCGAGACTTGACGGGGGCCGTCCCTCGAGGGCTCGATTGCGGGTCACGGGGGTCCTGCCAGGGGGACGTATGAAAATCACATTTCACAGAGTCTTATGGCGCAAAACAAATATTCTTGCCATAATGTCAGTGTAGGACGAGGCGAACAGCAAGCTCAGACACTGCTAACGATTCTGCTTTCCGTAATATCCATCCCATCCTGTACCTTCTAATTCCGATGAATTCGTATGGAATACAGCAAAGGAGACGGATTCCGGTCCATTTTCCTTTAATTTTGTGGAAGTTTGCATCAACCTGCTTTTGCTATTTTGTCATCGGTTATTTTTATGGAATATCTACAGAGTGAGAGATGTTATTTTACGAGGGTGGCTGATTACGGCATAATAGAGTCGCAGATCCTACAGAAATCAATTGCTGCCGCGCTGAGTTTGCGGTGACGAGTTGGTTGGGGCGTCGCCGCCAATTATCGCCCGGGTGCGATTAACCAGAGCCCGCGCCCGCGCCCTTCATTACTCAGCGGCGCCCTCGGGCGAGGGCGACGGCTGCGGCGGCCCAACAGACGCCCGAGGGCCCCGAGGGGCAAATTGCACATTGCAACGTTTTGAATGCGTTAAAGCTTCATAAACTGCCCTAAAAAATTCTTATTTTTACTTGAATTTACTTCTCATCTCATTTTTTCAGCCTTTAACATAAAGGATTTTTTTCCTCAATGGAATGTATTCGGGGGGATATGGACTAGATAACTCGTTTAATATTTCAACGTTAAGAAAATTTATTTAACCATTACAACATACAAAGTGAGTTCTTTTGTAGCATCACTAACAACAGTAAGTCACAGAATGTCTATTAAAACATATTTAACATATATTTTAAACTACTGTGGTCACAACAGCACCCACTTCCTCTTAATAAGGATAACTGTTAAGTGATGTCAAAATTTGCTTCTATGCATCTAAAGGGTCTGCCATTAGTAGAAACGAAACAATTCAACTCATTTTTTGAAAACTGCTAATATTTTGAAATAAATATATTTGAAATGATTTAAACATGTAATATTTCGGAATATATAGCATTACGAAATTAATATCTTTAGCTTCAATAATAAACACATTGGACAGGTTCAAAAAAATGCCATTATTTTTAACTAAAATTACACAAAGAGTAATATTTTAGAAGTATACAATGAATTATAGAAAGTCTTATAGAGAAAAGGGGTGTTTTATGAAATCTTCAGCTTGATACAATAGAAGGGGTAGAAATAAATTGAAAAAAAAATGAAATTTCCAATTTTCGAAATTACAGATGTTTCAATAGCAGTCACCTTTTGCACATTAATTTTGTTAACTTTTCCAGGCTCTAGCAAAGAAGTTCTTTTTTTTCTTGAGGAAACGTTTAAGTATTTTTTACAAAATGGCCATGTTTTCACTCAAAGTTAAGAGAAAACTAATTAAAATTTAAAAAAAAAAATTACATAATTCGAAGAAAATTTAAAAGATCAACTTTCATTCACAAAAAGTTCTCTTATCATGTATTTAGGAGTGGGTCCAAAATATGTAACTTTAGTCATTTGCGTAATTTCAGTCATTTTACTGAAAATTAGAAATCCAATTTTTTATTGGGGTACCTCGCTTGAGAGAATATTTAAAGATAAAAGCAGTCATTTTTGAGAGAATTTCGAAAATATCCTACATGTTTTTATAAAGAACCACCAAAAATTAACACATTCGTTTCAATCGGGTGTCTTGAGAATAGCCAGATTGGTCGGAGAAAATGCATTTTGGAGAAAATCCTGTGAACGGTTTCGTCCCCACTGTTCCCCTCCACAAACGGACAGTGAGACACAGAAAGACGAACAGATCGCCGGCCATACATTAGCAAACACTTAACTGGTGGAAGTTGTTCAGACTGGCGAATAGAAACTCAGGCGGATAGACGAACGGACACAGAGAAATGAAGGCAGAGAGTACAACCCTTTTTCTATTCTACGTACTCGCGAAAGTAAAATGCATTTTCAGCTTGTCAATAAGATTGGAAAAGAGTAGGATCGAATCCCGCTAGGGGCATGCAAGCTTGGTTGTGTATTGCCAGTTGATTGGGCCACCATTCTTCAATTATTTCTTGCATTCCTAGTCTGTCTGGTGAAATGGCTGGAAGCATTTGCGCCTTAGTACGTATTACATACATGCTTTGGGAAGTAATCCTCTGTATTCACATGGAACCTCACTTGCTCTTTACGGTAAGTTTGGTGAGCGACGGAAGGGTTCACATGTTGTAAAGTGTGGCCTGACCCCCTTCCTCGAACTCAGAACGTGCGACGAGCACCGCTTACACGTTGGGCTCTAAGTGCAACGTCCAACGTGAGTTTTCGAGCCACAGAAGACACACGGTCCAAGAGGAATTGCTTCATTTGCAAGATCTCAAAACTACTGGAAGGACGGCATGCACTGAAAGAAAGCAATAGCTACAGTGTACCTGATTCATGCTACTGTAACAAGAGAACACAAGTAAATATCGGCTCGGTATCACTGATGCTACTTCGTGACGGATTCTTCTCGAAGAAAGTATTTGCATCGAGAAGGTACCTTGTTGTACACCCTTGTCAGAAGGGCGCGGCTACGCGTGGCCAATCCTAAGCAACCTTATTGGAAGAGTAAACAACTCACCTCTCGATTTTAATGTTTATTATAGTTTTAAAACAATTGTAATAAATAATAATCATGTATTTCGGCATAATGAAACCTTTTCAAAACACCTGTATTTAATTTCATCACAATGCAATGCTGCACACAATTGCTTTACTGATTTTATTAAAATTTAATGATTGAAAAATACTTAAAAGCAACACAATACAATTCTTTACACTACATCATTGTTTTCGCTATTAGAGCTCAATTCATTTCTCCCTCTCAACTATGTTGTGCTGTGGTGCACGGCATTTGACTCCAAACGTCCTTTCTTCAGTTTTTGATAATAGCAAAAAAGTGATAGAAATAGAGTTACATATTAATGGCCGCTACATAAACTTTTGGGCATGAAACTGAAAACGTGGTAATAAATCGTATTTCTATTCCACGTCTTAGAAACAAAAGAGAGCAGGGAGAGACATGGAAATTCATCACAAATTTTATCTAAAAGACTTTCAAGATTTAGGGATGCAATGTAATGAAGTTACTCTTAACGCTGTAGCCAAGGTATTGGCCCAGTATACGTATTTATAAAGTAGCGCTCGCGGCGGAGATCAAGAACAACGACATCAACTGAATTCTTATTCTTTTCCAGACAACACATTAATAACAATGCGTGTGTCAAGAGAAGCGCTCTATTCTGCATTTAAATGCAGCAATAATGAAGAAAGACTGAGATACGTTGTTTTTTATTGGGCTAATAAACCCAGCAAGGAAAGACGAAAATGTATTATTAACTCTTGATAGAAATGTTATTATCTCCTAGATGTCCTTATTTACTTCTTATATTACACACATTTCAATATATTTTTATGAACTGAATAGAAATACCTCCTCACAAATCACTACTCACTTTCACTATTCACTATTTAGTTTCAGTAGACAACTTCAATTAGATTTAAATCATTTCCGTCCTTTAAAGTTGTTCAAAACCGCCACTTCAAATGTATTTTATATTTACACATTTACTTTTTAGTTAGACCTCACAGAACGGTGCTGTATTACGAATTGTAAGGCAACGCGGTCTTCCTTGATCGCCACGCTATCGCTTAAGTCGCCATCCAACAGATCGCCATGTGGCATTTTACGTGGAGATGCACTACTGTTCGTATAAATACGTACACTGTGGCATTGGTAAGGGTGACAATCTGGCAGCAAGAATAACTTTTTAAGGCAACAGCTGATGATTGTTATAAAAATTGTGTCTTGTCATACGATTTTAGTAAGGAACACAGAGAACAGAAAGATACCTTCTGCCATCTTTCTGAAGCGACTGTACATTATTCAAAATTTCAGCTTAAATACCTCCTTGTGACATCCTTTGTGTAGAATTTTGAATACCATCACACTGAAATAAATAAATTAAATTACATTTTTCAATGGCTGCGCTAAATACACGCATAATGTATACATTGCATGCGTTGTTGTTGATGTTGTCAATTTCCTGAGTTGATGTATACCAAAGTACGGCTAAGTGTTGAGACCATCCCTCTCACCGCAGCTGGATTTCTTCCCTGGGGAATGGGCGTTGGGTCAGCAGAGCCCACACCCAAATTACGGCGAAATCAGTCAGTGGTCAAGAAAGCAGGTTAGCTTGGGCTACAGACCACCGGTAAGAGGGCAGTGGCCACGGAAGCTTATCCAGTTCGTCAGGAGGCAAGCGAGCGCGGTATTCAGCACAGGAGGGCAATCTTCTTCCGTGCACTTGCGAAAGCTATAAGTGCAGACTGCTCGTACAGTCTGCAATTCCACTTCCGCGGCAGATGCCATCGCGCTAAAATATAACAAATATTTCTGACTAGCAGTAACGTTTTTTATCGTTTAAATTCTTAAATACATCTTTGACCTAACGTGTCTACAAAGTGTTTATTTGTAGTAAATAATAGAAATATTTATATTTCAAACTTCTAACACTCTGCTGATCGTTTGTGACATGCTCTACCTATTATTTAATCTGGCAAATGTTTGCCTCGTTTTAACTGTTATGTTCTATTGAATGATTTCAGTTTGGATTAAATCATTCTGACATTTTTACGACTGATCTTATTTTAGGTAGTTATATACTGTTTTAACCATTCTGTCTTGTTCTACATTTCATAACATTTTAAGCATTTAGTTTGTGGCTAAACTACACGAGGAGGACAAAACTGTAAATGACTTCGTAAATTTGTACTAATTTTTCATAACCAACTGCCAAAACAGCAACCCAATACGTCCCAGACGAGTTGAGATATTGACCGGTCTAATTAGACAAAAAGCGAGATTGTCGGAAAAACTCCAACTGAGATCGAACTATCTTATAATTAGAAGTAACCTTTTGTCCTTCTGCTATAAAGACGCGAAGTAATTGAAGAATAGAACGTGATTTAATATCTCTTCCGCAGATAGTAAATAATTCCGAAATTATAAAGTGAGAGTACCAGGGAGTGCCCTCCGGGTGTTCTCTCGCTCTTCTCACGCAATCTCTCATTAGATTAGACTTTGTCAATGAAGATCAAAAGAACATTTAATTTTCTTCACATACCCAAAGGGTTTTCAGAAAACATATGTTATCATTGAATGAACCAAGATGAAAACAGCCTTTCATAAATCTTAAAATGCAGAAGACCTAATCGTCGAGTCTCTTAAAATAGAAAACTGAAAATAACATATATTTCAATATGGTTTCATTAAAGCTATAATCACTATATTGTAGCCAAAGGTATTACTAAAGAAAGGATCTTTATGTATTATCAAGTCCTACATTATGCATGCAAACAGGCGCTATCAAGTAGCCAAACATGCCTGATTGAAGGTAAAAATGAATAAAATATGTACCATTCTTTGTATTTTACTCTTCTTCTATTTTAATGCCTTTTGTAGTAGTGCACTATTAAAGTAGTGCACGATTATTGTAGTAGTGCACGAAAAAATTGTTTTGAAACGCAAACACAATATTTGCTTTTAAATGTCATAAACCTAAAACCGCCACAAGACCACTAGGATCATACATAAAGGACGAACTTACAAATTCAAAACTATATTAACTTATCTGGGTGGACTGTATTTTCCCGCACTGCGTGGGGCGCCCCGGCGTGGGGCAACGCCCGAGAACTTCGCATGTAAGCGCGGCAGCGTGAAGCCAGAGCCTAGCTGTGCTCGGCCTGCACGTCCTTAGCTCTGGCCTGCAATATTTCGCTGAAATGTGGACGCATATTGTTCATTTATCACCGGTTACAAACCCGAAAGGAATATTTTCATCGAGTATTTCACTTCACAAAAAACTCGGCCCATTGTAGAGTCACTACCAAATATTTTAAATTGCGCAGCTTAGCAAAAAACGCAGCGACATCTCATCGATGTCAAATTCTAAGAATAAGCTTTACCCGCGTGAAATGTCGATACATTTTTAACAATAAATTACTGCAAGTCATAATACAAAGAGCTAAATATCCTAGGTAAAGGTCTAAATATTCAATATTACAAGAAAAAAAGTATAGTCGTGCAATGTGCATAAATTTCTCCGAAAAAGTATCGATATATGCAACCATTAACAGAAGTAAATATATTTTTGCCATGAAACACATAATTAAAAAATTTGATAACTGTACTAAGCTTGCATGAAAATATGCACTGTCACTGAATATAACCTTTACCATCAACAAATCCAAAGTGAGATTATAAATTGTGAATCTAAAATATACGTGCTTATAACAATGTTTGAAAGAAAGTAGACTCTTTATTGATCAGCTGTACAATTTTCCAAAAGTACACAAACGAAATGGACAATATAAGCGTCATCGTTGGTCAATGTTTGTAATATGGGCTCAAGTAATACATTTTTAAGGTAAAACAATAAAGAGTATGTCGAGTGTTCGTCGCCAGCTAGCAAAGTTAACGCCAAATTGACTCTCCAGGAATATTAATCTAGTAGCAACTACAAATGAAAAACAAAAATTAATATTTAATCACATTGCACAGTCGTATTCAAATTCACACTTAGAGATGGCATAGTACATTTAAAGTAGCTAATAATAAAACCAAACTTTGACGCCCCATTTCATCAATGAAAGTAAAATCATATAATTAAATTTTACCAGAAAAAACATTATCGCGTCCTATGTGCATTTTTGCTGTAACAAATGAATCCGAACCTATGTCCGTGGTAGCTCTTGTTTTATATACCAGGTGCTTATATCATTGTTCTGGGTGAACGACACCAGTTCAGTTTCGCAGATAGACTACACCGTCTGCGATGAAGAGCCTTTGGAAAGTACTGATGTGGTGCACAAGAGGCCGGAAGTCTGTGGCGGCAGAAACCGCACACGCTGCGTGTGGAATTCGGACGTGCAGCCTTAATAACTGGCTGCGTAGGCGCTCCTATCCCCAACCAGATCCTGCTTTACCGCCTTGTTTATATCGGTTATGTAAAATATTATTAGGTTATAAGCTACGGACTTCTACGCAAACTTCTCTTCATGCCTTCATCTTCTGCTTGAAACAGCACACCACATCTATTATCTACTATCTTCTAAAACCAACTGAATTTCTAAAATTAAGCTTTCTCGTGTATACGTGGAAAAACCGAAACTATTGATTTCTATGCCGAAACGCTACCATAGCACAATATTATCAAAGTTTGTTTACGTTAAAATATTTTTCAAAACTTTTCTCAAAAATTAAAGAACTTTACAGAAAATGTTTTAGAATACAGGGGGAAGTGGCCGAATTTCGATTTTCGTCTACATTGGATCGCACGCGTCTTTCCATGTTTAAGATCTTTTGGATCATAGAGTTGACGGTTCCGGATGCTCTGATGAGATTGTTTCTCAATGTTGTGAACAGCAGTTTTAATGAGCGGGCATAGTAATATAGTATTTTCGTAAACTACCTTTATATCGTTGTGCTATCGTAAGTCATTGTGTACAGGAGAAAATAAACACAGCGCTTATGCTACACCTGTTTACAAATATACGTCATTTGCTCCTGAATAAACATCGCAAGACTAACATTGCCTTTGAAGTAGCATCTACTTGCTATATTTGGACTTTGCCGAAAATGGACCACAGAAAGTTACTTTGATTGGACCTCTATCTTAGGAAGCTGGTAAGCATCATTTCAATTATTTCCTTTCACGTCAACAGAAAGCTATAGAATGGAATAGATGTTGTACATAGAACAAGATTATTCGCTATCTGACGACCTAAAAATTGAAGTGAACAACAAGCGAACTGGCAACATTGCGCAAAATGGTAATGAGGAATTCTCGTTCTATCTGTAATCACCAGAATCAGCTGAACTAAAATATTTAACAAGACGATTGGGAAGTCTTCCTAATCGTCTTGTTAAAATGTTCGAAGAAGTGGGAAGGAGAGTGTAAGCGAACGGCCCATCCAAACAGCAACTAGGGCAACCGGAGAGGCAAGACAGGATATTTCGAGAGAAGAAGAACAAAAAACAGTGGCGCACTGTGACATTCTTACTAAGCGATGCTGTACTTTTAAGTTGTAAGTCACACAAGTGTGATGATCGAAGAGTCAGTAGATAAATGAGGATCAATTACGATGAACTCCAGAACCCGTAAGCATAGTCTTGACGGATGAGAAATTTAAAATCTTAATGTCTTGAAGGGATATAAAAAACAAGAAGTTGTTTGTGAGTGTTTAGATGTCGTTTCAATTAAAAAACAAAACACGACGTTTTAGAAGCAAGTGAGAACAAAATAATATTGTCCTTAATTTCATTATCTGTGATAGGTTTATATTCGCTGTACCAAAAGAAACTAAACACTTATTAAAAAGATGCAGATTTACTAAAAAGGCACGTTTGTCGTAAATTATGATCGGAGAATAAAAAGCATTTTTATTTTGTGGCCATGTATGTTCTCGCTTTAGAATTTTTCGCGCGACCTCCTGAATGGCAGCTCCTCTGTGGGGCACAATTCGTTTCTTACTCATTTTTACTAATATTGTGAGAATACGTTAATAATGTTCATAGAATAATTGTGGGAATTCTCCCACAATGTAAATAGTGGTCTAAGGATTGCAGTACTATCTCCTGTCTTTTGCCATATACAACGAGACTGATGATGGCGGCAAACCCGTCGAAAGCCGGCTCTCTAAGTAAATATATTAAGTTGTCGGAGATGACTTCCATTATTTTTTAATGTCCACAGAATAAAGTAAAAATAATTCCCACGCCTGTACTCTACCCGCAGTTTCTTGATCAAACCCCAATTATGTTTTCATCGAATTATTAAACACAAAATGTACATAAATTCTTAAATATGACTATCTCAGTATTCGTGTTTTCAGAAATAAGCGTATGAAACAGTTAACATTATAAGCAAATATTTCTCCCTGGAATATTTTCCATCAAGCTTGCGTAGAAACTAGGACTTATCGTTTCTGCATAATAAATATTATTTTTTTGATTTGCAGTATGCGTACCATAAGAAAGCCATGGTCATAGAAAACAAATGTTGCAAAGTACACTCGTTGATTTAGAATGATCTCCCGATTTCACTTGATCTCAGGATTACGTGTACGTCTCTATGCATTTGTGGAAAAAAATTTTGAACCCAGTCACACGAAAGTGTCTTCGGCGAACTCATTTTAAAATGGCGGCTACAGGTGTTATCGTCGCATTGTTTAATTCGTGCACGAATGACTCACACTCTCTGGTAGTGAAGCAAGAAGCTGTTTGTTGGTTAAAAAGATTTATCTCGGCCTCTGCTTAGACTAGAATTCTTTGTTTGTAAAAATGTTTCAAATAGTCACTATGCACTTTATTGATACCTTGATAAAAGAGATTTTTTGTTTTGGGTACATTTTTACAACATTGAAACAATGTTTTAAAACATTAATTTACTTCTGGTAACCATTATTTAATAGACCTTTGAAATTTATTAGACAAATTTACAAAAACGAATTTTATTTGTGATTGTAGTTTGTTAGAATCAGAGCTTAAAGTATACACGAAGACTGAAGCCATTATATCACAATTGAATAATTGCCGTGCTCTTCTCACTTTAAAGAGGCTTTGTTGTCTCCGACAGTTACCCACCTTATGATACAATAAGTATTTCGCATGTAGCAAGAGGACTTGGTTTTGAAACGAAACGTTACCCTTTGCTTGGCTACTTTCGGTTTCGGCGGCGAGAGTACTTCCAATGCAACGGGTGCTCACCCTGGTGGTGGTGCAGGTGGTGCAGGTAGTGGTGGTGCGGGCTCTGGTGGCCGTAGAGCGCGGCGGCGGCCGCGTGGTGATGGTGATGGTGGTGGTGGTGGTAGAAGGCCTCCTGGTGGTGCAACACGGCCGGGTGCTGGGCTCCGTGGCCGCCGCCCAGCCGCTAGCTCCCCAACACACTCATGGCTGCCTCGCGCCTCGCCTCGCCTTCGCCTCGCGCCCGCTGACCGCTGGTCCGGAGCACTGGCGCCGGGCTTCGCGCGCCGCAGCGCCCGCCACGCGCGGCTAGGCCCCGCCCCCGGCGCGCGCGCATGCGCAGCCACGCCCCTCGCCCCTCCCCACACGAGCGCGCTCGCGGGGCTCTTGGGGCCCCGGCAGACCGCACGCAATTTTACTTCCTCGCTGCGGAGTAGACTGAAAGTTAAGTAATGCTGCGCGAGAAAAAGGCGAAATTGCGTCAGAAAAACAAATCTTGCCTTCTACCAAAGCTCTTACTCGCATTTGGCGGAAGTTTCTTTAATCTTTCCTTTCCTCAGGGCATTTCCACGACGGTGCTTACCAGCATGCTTAAGCATCTCTATCTCCAGTCCAAAAATGATAAATTGTCTGTCCTTATTTTGACAAGATAATTGTGGTACAAATCCTGATTATGATCTTATTCAGGATCATATTCTGGTTAACCAAGATGTGGAAAGGAGCCGCCATTCCTCTTTTGCTGACCAGCTTCTCGCAGATCTGCAGTCTGGTCTCTGTATTCCCTTTGCTTTCCTCTTGGGTCTGCCCATTAGCAAAGGATATCTTTGCTATCAAAGAAACTCCGGTTGAATTGCAGAATACTGGGTCTTGTTTCTGATATGAAGAGTCCAAGAGATCGGCCTTTAAAATACTGGCTACAAAAATAATGCCCGTTACCCTATGACAATGAAATTAAAAATTCACGTTTAATCATGAAAGGAGATAGACGAGAAACAAAAAGGATCTTGGATTAACCAAGATTACGTGACATATATGTAAAAATATAATTGTTGGTGCCTCGCTTTGATATTCTGCGTACTAATAAAAGACTTTGCGAGAAATTGGAAGATGAAAACCAGACTGATCACAGCCGAATATTATATGAGATAGACGAGAAATAAAAAGGATCTTGGATTAATCAAGTCAAGGATTAATCCAAGGATCTTGGATTAATAACACCCCCCCATAACGTGACAAATTTGTAAAAATATCAATTTGGCGCTTCGTGTTGATATTTTGCGTACTAATAGATAACTATACGAGAAATTGGAACGTGCAAACCAGAGTTCAATCAGACGAATACTTTATTAGATAGACGAGAAACGAAAAATTTCTTGGATTAATCAATTTTAAATTACCCCCCATTACGTGACATAATTGTAAAAATAATAATATTGGTGCTTCGTTTTGATATTCTGCGTACTGACAAAGAACTTAACGAAAAATTGAAAGGTGCAAACCAGACTGATCACAGCCGAATATTTTATGAGATAGACGAAAAACAAAAAGGATCATAAATTAATCAAGTTTAAAATAGCCCCCACACATTAAAAGAAATTGATTTGTGCAAAGCAAAACCCAATATGAAGGAATAGTATCGGAGACGAGAAACAAAACGAACCACAATTGTTCAAGTTACAATACGACCCCCCCCCCCAACGTGCCAAATTTCGAAAAATATTATTTTCAGCACTGCTATCTGTAATTCTGTATAAAAGTAAAAAATTTTAAAGAAATTGATTGGTGCAAAGAAAACTCCAATCAGAAAAATAGTTTCCGAAATAGTCGAGAAACAAAAAGAACCCAGATTGTTCAAGTTCCAAAACGACCGCCCTCTTACGTGCCAAATTTCGAATATATTAATTTCAGCAATGTTATCAGTAATTCTGTATACAAGTAAAACACATTAAAAGTAATTGATTGGTGCAAAGAAAACTCCAATCAGACGAATAGTTTCCGAGATAGACGAGAATCCAAAAGAACCCAGATTGATCAAGTTACAAAACGACCCCCCCCCCTTACGTGCCAAATTTCGAGAAATATTAATTTCGGCAGTGCTATCTGTAATTCTGTGTACAAGTTAAACACATTAAAAGAAATTGATTGTTGCAAAGCATACTCATATCAGAAGAATAGTTTCCGTAAACAGAACAAATCTCAATTGTTCAAGTTACAAAACAACTCCCCTTTGCGTGCCAAATTTCGAAAACTATTAATTTCAAGCACTGCTATCTATAATTCTGTATACAAGTAAAACATTTTAAAAGAAATTGATTGGTGCAAAACAAACTCCAATCAGAAGAATTTTTTCCGAGATAGACGAGAAACAAAAAGGAACCTCAATTGTTCAAGTTACAAAACGACCCCCCCTTACGTGCCAAATTTCGAAAAATATTAATTTCAGCACTGC